CCCGCCAGCATGCTGACTGGGGAATTCTGGGAGTTGAAGGCCACCCATCTTAAAGTTGCCAAGTTTGAAAAACACTACTAAAGAAAAGCAATATAATCTTTGGAACTGGCTGCTTTTAAAAGTGTCCAGTCCCTAGTATATTTGTTTAGGTTTCCATTTTGCTTCTCACAGGAAGAAAACTTCACTAGTGTAAGTAAACGTTCAGACAGAAGACCAGCAAAAGTTGAGCTTTAATAACTTCTGTTGGAAATGTAGAGGAGCCAAAGCTCTGGGCAAGCAATAAAGCATAATTTTTCTTAGGGAAGAGCAGATGGAAGATGGGCTTCAGATGCCACAAATAAAACTTTATAAGCTTTAATTGGCTGTTAAATTACTTTTTGTGTGTCCCTTCTGATCACTGTTGACTCCTGGCAACTGCATGAACTAGTCAGATCTTTGGCAAGATTTTTGGAAGTGGTTTGCCATTGCCTTCTTCCTTGGGCCAAGAGAGAATGACTGGCCCAAGGTCACCCAGTTAGCTTTGTGCCTATGGTGGGACTAGAAATCACTGTCTCTTGGTTTCTAGCCGGATGCCTTAACCACTACACCAAACTGGCTCTCATCGAATTGCATAGATAAAAATTTCACCATATTTTGTTATGAACTTCTGTCCCCAGAGGAGCAAAAGAAGTTGCATTAAAGTGAGTTAGACCCTCAGTCTATCTAATTCAGTGTGGTTAGTATTTAGTACTCTACAAAGTTTCTTGTAGTTCCTCCCCTACAAAAGTTCAGATGGGAAGGTAAAATTTCAGAGACTGCTAATTCAGCTGTTTTGTTTTTAGCTTGAGCAGTATTAATGCAGGGAAACTGTCGCGTGGTGAACTCAACAACTGCTTCATTCCTTGCACACCAAAAGGATGCATGGAGCTTATCAGGCAAACAGGTGAGCAAGGAAAGGATGGGTCTTGCTTCACAATAGCCAGGGATACACTTTAGATACTGTGAGTGATTGTGGGGAAGCTGGAAATGGAAGGGAAGAGAACACAAACATAAATATTTGAGAGAGTGGGCAAGTCAGTTGACAGCTTATCTCATAAATGGCAACTTAGCCCAGGTGAAGAGAAATATTGGAAAAAACATGTCAAAGCATTCAGAGAGATTCTGCCTTAATTAATTCATATAAATAAGGCTGGAACATTTCTATTGCAGTTTTCAAGATTCTGTATTTACTCCAGACTAGCATAAAAGAGATCTTACTGAAATCTGTGTTTTTTTCATTTCTTTGATCTTGCCCAGCTGCATGGAGCTTAACAGATATACACCTTAATAAAAAGTTTTGGGGGCTTTGGAAATGTTTTTTATAATCGGAGATGGATCATAGACTGACAACAGAGCACAGCTTCTGTGATGTGAATGTTAAAAATGGGTTCTGCATTTCAGGTATTCAAGTAGCGGGCAAAAAAGCAGTAGTGATTGGACGCAGTAAGATAGTCGGGGCTCCGATGCATGACCTGCTGCTTTGGAACCATGCAACCGTGACCACCTGCCATTCCAAGACTGCATCACTGGCTGATGAAGTGAGGCTGAAAGATTACTGTTATAATGATTTTCAGTATAAAACATCTTTTGCTAGCCCCTTTGTTGTTGAAGCTTGTCTCTGAATAGTTGTATTGGTCTCTGTAGGGTACAAATTGAATCCAGGTTCAACCTCTACAGCTGGCATCCCCTGAAATTGTTGCTAGGGCTTGATCCCTGATCTTGGCTCTGAAGCAGTTGGTTGAGATTAAACTGCTATTTTTATTTGCCATCATGCCTTCAAGATAGCATTGATGGAGCAGTAAGAGAAATGTTTATGGTGTGCTGCTGTACCACTGGTTGTGGGCATACAAGCATAAGTACTCTGGATCCCATTGGATGGTGCTCAGCCAAAGCCTTCTCTCTGATGGGCAGAGATTAGATTATTGGCACTTCTTGAGGGGTATTGTTAGTTCAGTGTTGTCCAACATGTGGCCCTCCAGATGTGTTGGAGTGCAATTCCAAGAATTCCTAGCCAACATCCAGAGAATGCCAGTTGAGAAAGTTTGGTCTAGCTGTTAGCAAATGTGGAGGATTTTTTAATAGGAAGGAGATGTAATTCCATGCTAAGGTATATGTCTGCATATGGACAATCCCAGGAAAATCTGAAATGTACTACTTCATAATTGGGTATGGGGAGTTGCAAAATAAAATCTTCCTCTGTCATGGTTCCCTGCTTATGGAAAGTTAGCCTGTCAGAAACAATATTCTAGGATTTTCCCTGGTATGCTATACTTTCTTTAGGCAATGAGGGAAAGCACTTTTGTTAATTTGCATCTGTGTTCTACAAAGATGAACTCTTGCTGATAGGTGTAATATCAGGTAATTGCAAATTGTTGGGAAAATTATTTCTGTATTGATTTTTATTTCTGAGAAAGGAGCCACATGCTGCTCAACACAAAAATATATTCCTATTTTAATTGACCAAAAGGATTTATATTCATATTATAGGGCCTTGTTAAATAGATAAATCACCTTAAAGAGGGAGAGGCACAGCAGGAAAGAAAAACTTAAAAGCCAAGTTTCTTTGTGGAACCAGGTTAACACAAATTGTGCTTGCAGGTCAGTAAAGCAGATATCCTGGTGGTTGCAGCTGGCAAAGCTGAGATGGTGAAAGGTGAATGGATCAAACCAGGTTCAGTAGTGATTGACTGTGGAATCAATCACATACCAGGTAATATTAAAGAGTGACTGTGAAAAATGGTTAGCAAATATTGTTAACTAGCATAGAGGTGTGTGTGGATGTAGGAGGGAGAAAATGGTTACATCTCATTAGTGTTTCAGTCAGGCAATTAATTATCCTAATTTGGAAGTAGATCCCACCTTCTCTGAAATCTTTCTTTTTTGGGATGGGGAGAAAAGGGATTAGACTGTAAAGAAGAGGAAATAAAATTATCCTTTAAAAACTTGGAATCTCTTATACTTTGTAGACTGTTACATTGGCAATTTGTTCTAATAAATTCCCTGTAGAATTCAATTCATTGTACCAATTGAAGAGAATATCTGTAGCTCAGGGTCGAACTGTGGAGTCCTTGGGGTTCTCTGAGCTTGGTTGTTTTTTTGCAGACATTTCGTTACCTGGCTAGATAACATCTTGAAGGTGTTACCTAGCTGGATAACGAAACATCTGCAAGAAAACAATGAAGCTCAGAGAACCCCAAGGACTCCTCAATTTGTTGTCTCCCAGTCAAATATAGAAATACTAGGTCAGGTGTAGCAATGGTGCCTTCCAGACACCATTCTGTAAGTATTCTGAACTCCAGATTGATCAGGTTTTATGAAAGATGTAATGAGAAACATCCAGAAGATATCAGGTTGCCAGACTCTCTGTCTTTGTGGTTACACAAAGCAGTTTACATACATGATATAATCCCTAAAGAAATCCCAACATCAGCGTAGCAGCAACAGTACAAGCAATATAAGCAACTTCATGGCACTCCACTTCTAATAACAGTTATAAAAAACAAGATAAAAACTACAACACAACTTTTCCAGAAGACTGACTATTTGCCTGTCTATCTAAAAGAGGAATCATAAAATCCAATCAAAGCCATCTCCCGAAAGCCTGCTCAGTCATCTTGGCAGTCTTGCAAAAAACCAACAAATAAACTTAATATTTATATATCTCCTCTCTTTTACAAGATCTCTTCATCTCTAATATTCAGTCCCCTGGTAATGGCATAGGCACTGCCTTGACAAAGATGTCTGTGGAGGAAACGGAGGGGAGGGCATTGTAGTTAGGAATGAATGTATCCATTGACCTTCTCTGTATCAGTACAGAAAGGGATGTAAGGAAGAACAAGACAGCAAATTCTGACATGTCTCTTGCAGTGTTTTTATGTATGCATGACTTTCATAGCCTGCCCTTCCTCCAAGGAACTCTGCAAAGATCACAAAGAGATGGTTTGTTGAAAAATTCAGATTTGGCTAAGTTTAGACAATGTGCTAAGCAAACCATATGTTGTTGTTGTTGTTGTTTAGTCGTTAAGTTGTGTCCGACTCTTCGTGACCCCGTGAACCATATTGCACCAGGCCTTCCGGTCCTTCACTGCCTCCCTGAGTTTGCTCAGTTTCA